TATGCACACTATAGAACATATATATTATGCGATATATGTGTACTATAGGGTGAGTATAGATAATATGTGATGAATAAATATGCACACTATAGAACATATATATTATGGGATATATGTATTCTATAGGGTGAGTATAGATAATATGTGATGAATAAATATGCACACTATAGAACAGATATATTATGGGATATATGTGTACTATAGGGTGATTATGGTTAATATGTGTTGATTTGTATATGTTTAATATGATTGATGATAGACGTGTATAGGTGTAATACTTTAATGTCATTACTCCATGTAAATCCACGCTACGGTCGCTATAGTTGGTTCTTACTCCCTCTGTCTTCCCTTGTATGTGTTGTATATTTGGGTTCAGGTTGTGGAGGTAGCGCATTGGACGCTTGCGGAGAAGAGTACATGATAGAGTAGTGTTTTATGTAATTGACATGTTATATGAAAAACGTTTTTAATTTGAGAACCTTGTTGGTTTCACTCTTTTGTAAAATGGAACTTCTCCTAAAGTGTATAATGAAGTTGATTTAATATTTGTAATTAAAAGAATTCTTTGTTAAAGGGTAATTGTTTAGATTATGTATTTGAAAGGAAGTGAAATGACATGCTTTTGAAATGAAATGTATTTGGAATATTTCCGCCTTGTAATTTATAAATGTATTCACCAAGTTTCCAAATCGTTCAAGTAATGTCTTTCAAAAGTAATCACTTCACTTTCACGAATAAGTTTTTAAAAAGAATATTTGGATTACGAAAATCGGGTCCTTACATAAGTGTCTCCATTATATATATGAGATGATGTGAACATGGAATATGTATGAATTAAAATGTTTGTGAGAAATGTGTTGTGGTCCTACCCGAAGTGGTAGTGGATTATCGTGTGTTGTGTGTGGGCCTAGCGGAAGTGGTAGTGGATTATATTTGCCGTGTAAACGGGACGGATGTGGTCCAGAGTAAATTTAAGGTTGGTTGTCATTGGGGAAAATAAAAATGCTTTGGAAAGAATGAATATGCATGCTATAGAATATATATTATGACTATATATACTATAGGGTGAAATATCTTTTTGCGATTAGTTGTCAATATCTGGTGATTTGTTTCGTGACGTATGAATTATAGAAGCAAATGTTAGCTTTCTTGGTGATGACTTGAATAATAATGTGAATGATTTCTTATAAGTGCATAGATCTGGGTTTTGATGATGCACAAGGTGGCTGTGTGGTTTAAGTTTTAGCGGGATAATTGATAAACACAAATTTTGCTCTATGAGTTTGTGGAAATTGGTATCGGGAATAACAAAGTTATTTCGATTTTTGTACGTGAAACTTTTGGTCTATGATGATCGATCCCTTTTGTAGTAGAAATTGGAAATGCATGATATAGTGGTGATGTACACCAATTATCTGATTTGAATGTTGTACTGACAAAACTTGTTTCTGTCTCATGTGCGTCAGCAATTGCTATGCATGATTATAGTGTAATCGCATGAGAAATAGGGTTTTTGAGTTATGCTGAAATGATTATGTAAACCTTGTTTTCACAACATGATTGCCATGAATCGTATGTTCAAACCATTTTTGAAAATCATTCTAGGGTGAAACGTAGCATGTGGCTAAACATTGATTTAGTATCATGTTGGAGAATCCAAAACTTTAGCAACCATATCTTGATAAATCTGAGGTTGTTAAAAACTTGGTGATACGATTATGACCATGTGTTTCTGGACGTGCTGCAAGTGGAGTAATAAATATATATTTGCAAGTGTAATTGGGGTATCCACATCTAACGTATGTTATGGAACTGAATGTTTGTAAATTTGCACTTGTCGATTGGTAACGAAATATCTAGTTTTGGATGAATCAATGGTTTCGTGTGTCCAATTGAGGCTAGGAATTAGTAATTCCCTGTTACATGTATTGTATGGAGGTAGAAACGTTTGATGTAATCGAATAATCACTGGATAGTTTGATTTTGTACAAGGGGAGAGACTCTAAAAGTCTTAGTTATTTAGATGCTTTTGTTGAGTGACTACCTTGTTTCTATGTGGTAGTGCATGCAATGTTGGGAATGCTAAGGTAAATTTTTAGTAGATAGTTGTTATGTTTCATGAGTGGAATGAATTGATGCTATTTCCATGTGTGGAGGTTGAACTAGCTATTGCATGTTGGATGTTAAATGATACATTGTGGTAACCTGTATCATTCATTATTAGTACATAGAATCTCACACCAAACAATTATCACATAGTTAACAAATAATTCACACAAATCACACAAAGAAGCATGTAAGGCCATACCCTAGGCCGTAGCATTAACTTACACTCTGATACCATATTGTGAAGACCCAAAATTTGCCCTATAATTTTTCATTTATTTCTAATTCATTTATCCCTAGATTCTCGAATCATGCAATATATCAAAATTTCCATAAACCTCACACCCATCTATTTCCTTCATCATATTAGTACCTTAATCATCCATTTTCCAGTTTCTTACATTGATCACATTCAATGGCAGAAAATCATAATGCATATCCATATTATAAATAAGTTTCATCATAAGTCAAGTTATGGGTTACATGATTAAAGTATCCATAAATACAAATATTGTCAACAAGTAGTCATTTAATACACTAATATTTGGGTCATAGAATTTCAGTCACTAAGCTCCTACATCATCTAGGCATTGCAATCCATAAACCCTCATTTTACCTTCAACGGGATTACCATAACCAATACACTGAAAAACACAAAGGAGTAAGACATTAAACTCAGGAACGATCAATATAAGATAATCCACAAATAAAGTAAGGTTAGACAAATAATTAAATCATTACACATAAGGTAAATTATTATAAAGAACCTCCATTACCATTTTCACACTATTACTTTCCATACCTTACCACAATCAATTTACCAAACACATTCTTTTTTACAATATATACGATAATTATTTACCTTTATCGACATTTATTATAACTCGCATATATATATAACCATGTTACATAACTTGAGCAAAATAATGCTACATCCGTTTACCTGCAATGAGATTATCATTGACAAATAAACAAAGAACACAAAGGAGTAAGTCATTAACTGAATAAATATCAACATACGATAATCCACATTTTAATAGGGTTAGGTAAGAAATTTAAATAATAATACATAACTATTCTGCTACATAGCTTGACCCAAAGCTTGCTACATAACTTGAGCCAAAGTTTGCTACATAACTTGAGCCATAGTTTGCTACATAACTTGAGCCAAAGTGTGGTACATAACTTGAGCCATTTTGCTACTTAACTTGAGCCAAAGTGTGCTACATAACTTGAGCCAAAGTGTGCTACATAACTTGAGCCCAAGTTTGCTACACCGTTTAGGGGAGCCAATATTGGTTTTACATTCCTTTCATTTATCATCAATAAATATCCAGAAAATCCACACTATTCATTAACAAAATATACAAGTATATTGCTTCTCCTTACCTTGGTGAGTGTTGGGGTTGGTTTTTGGTAACTTTTCAAGTTCCTCCTTCACCTCCTCAAACCTTAGGATCTTTCCTCATTCCCACCACACAACAACAATAATCAGTAATTTATTCACAATATCACATGAACAACTTCACACTACATATTCATCCATAAAAGAAGTTCATATTTCAATGGTTTTCAAAACCATTCCCATTAGGAATTTCAAGCATGTAAATCATACACATTCACTCTTTATTCAACATTAAAATCCAGAAACCACATTCTTAACTTAATATTTCACCCCCCCCCCCCTTTTTCAACACCATCTTCGTTTTGGTGTTAGGGGTTTTCATGAATCAACCACTTATCATCACCATTTCCGAATACAAAGTCTAAAGCATGAGTTTTCAAGAGAAAAGATAGATAAAAATGAACTAGAACTCACAAGAGAGGGTTTAATGGTTTTTTATGATAAGAGAAGAGACCCAAGTAAATAAGTTGAGTTCCAAAACGAGATTGAGTGTTAAAATCAAGAGATTCACCTCTTCTTTAGCTTCTAGTTGATTCTACCCGAGTTCTTGCTCTCAAAATCGCCTCTTCCTCTATTTTCTCCCAAAAATCTACCCCCTTTTCGTGTTTGGGGTTCTATTTTAGGGTTCAAAATTTTAGATTCTCGCTCAGGCGAGGTCACCTCGCTAAAGCGAGAATTTCACGATGTTTTGAATTTCAAATGCTGAAGCTCTCGCTCAAGAGAGGGAGCCTCGCTCAGGTGAGAATCCATCAGTGTTCACAGTCTCCCTCTCGCTTAGGCGAGCCTACTCTCGCTCAGACGAGAATCCCAGAGAAAAGTCCAGTAAATCCCCAGACTTCCTGAATTTTACTATACTTAGGAAAAAGAGAAATTAGGGTGTTACAATATTTACAATTCCTTTGTTTGTGAGATTATTTTATTTTCTCGCGCGATAAAAAAATAAATAATAGAATGGATTTCTACTATGCCCATATCTCAGATAAATGGAAATTTTATTGATAAGACCTTTTCGATTATAGCCAATATCTTATTACGAATAATTCCGACAACTTTAGGAGAAAAAGAGGCATTTACTTAATATAGAGATGGTGCGATTTGATTATCTTTTTTTTTTTAATTTAAATTTAGCGATACCAATTTTAGGAAAAAACACACATTTTTCGGAGAGAAATAAAGAAAAAATTGAAAAAACCTACGCTTGCTGAAGGTGAAGTTTGTAAATTAAAAAATTAATTCCTTCTTTCGTGTATCCTCGATTAATGCAACGTCATTTACTTCCATTTTAGGTTTATAATATTAAGTGAATGGTTATACCTATACCTAATGGAGTTGGGTTAACCCTACTCCACTAGTACTAATAGGCGGCCTGGGGGAAGAAGTATTACGCTTAGGAATCAACAACACGAAAGAAAACTTTGTAAAACTAAAATATCTTTCCTTGCGGGATCGGAACTAACAAAAGAATGGTTGGGACAGCAAACATCCATCTCGTGCGTATTTTGGATACCCGTATAACCATCCAAGACTGTTGAAGTGACTAATTCCAAGAAATTAAGCGGCGTTGAGGACAAAGAAATTGTTGGAGTTACCCTTTCTTATCCAGTACCAACATACTTGATGTTAAGAACAGATCTTTTACAGGAAGGTTGGCTAGAGATTTCTTGTAAAAACACTAGCCCCGCTCAGTTGATAATGAGAATACTGCAATCTTTTTTGATTCTATGTATTTTTTTTATCATTATACACATAAAGGAGGAGCCGTATGAGATGAAAATCTTACGTACGGTTCTGGAACGGAGATTCTTTGAACTGAATGACGACCGTAACGGATGTCGGCTCAATCGGAAGGAAATTATGCAGAAGCTTTACAGAATTATTATGAGGCTATGCGACTGGAAATTGATCCCTATGATCGAAGTTATATACTTTATAACATAGGCCTTATCCACACAAGTAACGGAGAACATACGAAAGCTTTGGAATATTATTTTAGGGCACTCGAACGAAACCCCTTCTTACCCCAAGCTTTTAATAATATGGCCGTGATCTGTCATTACGTGCGACTATCTCCACTATAGAAAGAAAAAAAACAAGCAAATCCGCTAAGAAATACGAAAAAATAGGCTTTCTACATATATATCGTACAAAACAACGAGAAAGATTTCGGAAATTGCGGAGGCTTGGTTTGATCAGGCCGCTTGATGAGTCAAATATAACACACTATTAATAACCTTATTTTACCATTGTTAATGATTCTTGGTGACTAATTGACTTTATTTGGCATTGTTTAGTGTTTTAGGCTTTATTGGACTATTATTCCTAAAATGAGTTAATTTGGGATTATTTAGCCTAATTAAATCTAATTCCATTTTCAGGACATATTTGGCACCAAGGACATTTTGGGCATTACAAGTGGAAGATGTGTGCTAAAGTGAAGATTGTATTTAGTTATAGGATTTTTAATTCCGTTTTAGGTTTTGGGCCCATTGTTTAGGGCCCATTTCGGTTTTACCCTTTAATAAGCTTAGAATTTCGTTTTCACACACAATTTTACATTAAACATTTTACTTTTCAGCTTTGGAGAGAGCAATTTTCGTTTTCCCCCTTTTGGGGTTCTTTTAGGTTTTCGTTTTCCATCTTCTTCCTCCTCCAAATTCGGTTTTGCTGATTCCTCCATGGAAGGCTAGAAGTTTAGTGCTAAATTCCTTTGGTAATGTATCACACTCTTGAGGTTTAGTGCTTAATGCATTTTCGGTTTCTATGTTGTTGTTAATGCAATTTCGGTTTTATGTTGTTGAAGCTTCTATCCTATTTCATGTTATGGTTTGCTTAATTCCATGGTGTTGTTTTAGGTTTGTGAACTGATTTTCGCTTAGTTAATTAGTTCTCTAGCACATAATCGCTTAGTTTATATGAATCTGTAAATGCTCTATGTTTATGTTGAATTCTCTTAGTTTGAAGCTTAAACATTAGAGTTATGAACAGAATAGGAATTCAATGTGTAGAATCTGAAATTGATGCTTTGATTCGTGTGACTTTGTTAACTGTTTGTTGCTTATGCCAATTTCGCTTAGTTAGAGGTTTAGCAATTTAACTGTGAGTTGATCATCGCTTAGTTAATCGACTCTCAACAAAGGAACACTGAGAATCTGATTTTGATATATTGAAACCGAGGATTGAGTTGTGAACAAGGAAACCAAAGGGATTTAGCCTCTTTACTATTTTGTTTTCTGTTTGTGTTCTGATTTAGCTTAATTTCATAGCATAACAACCACTAAAACCCCCCATTGTGTGTGTGCATGCAAGGTGTTTGAACCATTGTGTGAAAGATAATCTTTGGGAAACGACCTAAGAGTCACTTCCTAATACTATACTTTATTGTTATATTATTTGTATCGAGTACGGCCTCGATCAAATTTGGCGCCGCTGGCGGGGATTATCGATTCATACAAAGGTTCTATGTAGTTTCATAAAGCTTAGTTTAGTGTAGTGTAGTTTAGTTAGTCATTTCTATAGTGCATTTTTGATGAAAATTCTGATATTGGTGCAAAAAGCTGTTAATGTGCACTGTTCACTGTTCACTATTTTGCCATTTTTCAAGATTTATGTGATTCTGTTTTGCTGGTTTATATAGCTGTGGGTGGAATTTTTGCATGAAACTTTGTTTCCCCACTTCTTTCATCCCACATTGAACACCAGAGAAAGCAGAACCAATTTCCGAGCTGTAGTTTGTGAGATACAACTTTATGGTGAATAGTGAATTGTTGGAAATTTGTTTTTAGGATAACTTTGTCTCCATATATCACAATTGGACATATGACGTAGCATTTGGGGTAGAAAAACACAGTCTGTCAGCTCCGAACCAAAAATCCGAAATAACCCTTTTTACTATTTCTTTTTTATTTTTTGAGGTTTATTTTTTATTTTTCAAGGTTTATAGTGAAACTGTTTTGCATTTTTAACATAGTTAGGCTTTGAATTTTTTCTTGAAACTTTTTGTACATGTTCTATATGATTTTAGGATGTTATTGATGCAAATACTTGGTTGATTCTACAATTATAACATGAATTTCCATTACTATTGCATTACTTTCTTCCTACTATTGACTGTAATGCATGACTAGGAGGAACACATGCATTTTGCATTCAATAAATCCCGAAATTGATAGAACATATCATAGGTTAGTTAGACAAAATAGGACTTTAGATACTAATTTTGTTTCTGTTTCTGAACATCCTATTGCTGAATATAGTCATTCTGTGCATTCTGTTGCAATTCCTAATTTTGACCATTCTGTCCATTATGAGAGGACATTAAGGGAGTTGGCTGCCCCTGATTTTACTTATGACAGTTTGTGTATCCAATATGAGGATGTACCATATGTGCTTAAAACTGGACTAATCCATTTGTTGCCCAAGTTTAATGGACTTGCAGGTTAGGATCCTTATAAACATCTTAAGGAGTTTCACATTGTCTTCTCAACCATGAAACCACATGATGTTATGGAGGATCACATTTGTCTAAAGGCCTTTCCTCATTCACTTGAAGGCCCTAGAAAGGATTGGTTGTACTATCTGGCTCTTGGTTCCATCACAAGTTGGGGTGACTTGAAGAGGTCATTCTTGGGTAAATTCTTCCATGCATCCAGGACCACTGCAATCAGAAAGGACATATCTGGAATTAGGCAACCACATGGTGAGAGCTTGTATGAGTACTGGGAGAGGTTTAAGAGATTGTGTGCTAGTTGTCCTCATCATCAGATCTCTGAGCAACTCCTCCTGTAGTATTTTTATGAGGGTCTGAACAATATGGATAGGAGTATAATTGATGCTGCTAGTGGTGGTGCACTTGGGGACATGACTCCTTTTGAGGCAAGATGTTTGATAGAGAAGATGGCTTCCAATTCTCAACAATTCAATGCAAGGAGTGGTGATGCCATAGTTGTAAGAGGAGTCCATGACGTTGGGACAAATGCAGCAAGGCAAGACAAGCTTGAGACTAAAATTGATTCCCTCCCCACCTTGATCACTCAGTTAGCCATAAATCAGCAAAAATCTTCAATGGCAAGAGTATGTGGCATTTGCACCTCAAGTGACCATTATAATGATATGTGTCCTTCTCTGCTTGAGCCAAGAACTGGTGATCATCCTGAGGCGTATGCTGCAAACATATACAACAACAGACCTCCACATCAGCAGCAACATTATGATCCACCCTCATCAAGCACATACAATCCTGGTTGGAGAAATCAGGCACCATTTCAGAACAATAATGTTGGGCAAAATAGATCATCATATGTGCCCCCACCAATCCAACAACAGAGGCATCAAATGATTAACAATCCTGCACCTACTTAACCCTCTTTGGAAGAATTGGTGAGACATATGACAATGCAGAACATGCAATTCCAGCAAGAAACCAGAGCTTCAATTCAAAGACAAGAGTCTTCAATTCAGAATCTAACCACCTAGATGGGGCAGATGGCTACTTCACTGAACACATTGCAGTCACAGAATTCTGACAAGTTACCTTCTTAGACTGTGCTTAACCCAAGGAATGTGAGTGCCATCACCCTTAGATCAGGCAAACAGACTGAAGTGCCTACACCTAGAACATATTTTGTTCTTCAAAAAGAACATGATGCATCAAAAAGGAATAAATCTGTTTTAGTAGAAAATGAGAACACAACTAGAGAAACTCATGCAAATCAACCTTCCTCAAGTGTTGCGCAACAACCATTTTCCATTCCTCTTCCATTTCCACCAAAAATCATTCCAACCAAGAAGATGGGGAATATGGAAGAGCTGGACAAGGACCTCTTAGATACATTTAGAAAGGTTGAGGTGAACATACCTCTCCTTGATGCTATCAAGCAGATTCCTAGATATGCCAAGTTTCTGAAAGAATTGTGCACTCACAAGAGAAAGTTGAAAGGTAATGAAAGGATCAATATGGGAAGGAATGTTTCTGCCATGATAGGTATGCCCGTTCCTCACATCCCTGAAAAGTGTAAGGACCCAGGTACATTTACTGTACCTTGCATCATAGGTAATAGAAAATTTGAAAATGCCATGCTTGATTTAGGAGCATCCATTAATGTTATGCCTATTAATGTTTTTAAATTCCTTTCACTTGGACCCTTGCAACCTACGAGTGTGGTAATCCAATTAGAAAATAGGAGTACTGCATACCCTGCCGGTTTGGTAGAGGATGTCTTGGTTCAGGTTGATCAACTGATCTTTCCTACTGATTTTTACATTCTTGATATGGAAGAGGGATCCCCCAGTAACACAGTTCCAATTATTTTGGGGAGACCATTCATGAGAACAGCCCGAACCAAGATCAATGTCCATGCTGGGACACTTTCTATGGAATTCGATGATAAAGTGGCTCGGTTTTACATTTTTGATGCTTTAAAGCATCCATCCGAGGGCCACTCTGTATTCCACCTTGATTTGCTTAATGAGTTCAATGATACACACCTTTCTAATTTTCTTCATGATTTTCATGTTCCGTCATTAACTAATTCATACACTTGTCATGCATGCACTTATTCTGAAACATGTAGTTTTTGCATTGATGAGTTTTTGAACATTGATATTGACATTTATGTTCCTTGCACTTCATTGTACACTTGCCATGCATGCACTGATTCTGAGCTGTGTGACTCTTGTATTGATGAGTTTCTTAATATTGTTGTTGATTCACCTGTTACACATTCACATTGCACTAACACAATTGTTGCAGGAATCAGACAACAATCTGATTTATTTGTTCATGTGCAGGCTGCAATAAAGCCTAGCTTTGCTACTTTCTTTCCATCTGT